TACAAAGCGTGCGCGAAGACCTGAGTCACCGACATAATACAGCTACAGGAAACAAACAATCAATATAAAAAAAATGCAACTGAAGCACGAGAATAGTTTCCATTAATAGCGTTGATCCAGCCTTGTTGCCGTCTTCTTTTGGCAAGAGAAGCCACTAACATCGTTAACTGTATCTTTCCTCTAAGGTGTCATCGGCTTCACTTAAATCTAGGAAGGGGCTAGTCGTTCGCATTAATTCCACATGGTCAGAAGTCCATTTTTTTAATTATTTCGTCGTACACATACACTTCACTAGGTATTCAGATCTCTCAGCAAGAAAATACTTTGTTTGTCCCTGTTGGTTTACTGCAGTTTCCCTTTAATTTCTTCATTATCTAACCTTTCAATAAAGTACTTTCTTTTTTTTCAACAAACACAAAATCAGATATCAATGTATCCTTTTATTTGTTTACAATAAGGCTGAAGAACAGGGTCTGAATCAAAATAATGCTTAGTTTAAAGGGTAAACTCGATTTTTTTAACAACTCAGCCCTGATATATCATATTATTCATTTCTTCCACCTTTTGAGGATTTTGCATTGGATGAGAAGTAGTTATATAGTTATGCATCATGGAAATTAAGGTGATTCCCTTGTTTTACACTGCGCAACCTTCTGCGCATAACATGTACGATTCTCAAAGCCTCAGAGAAGGAGCGGTTACCAAGAGAAAGTTTACACGGAAACGAGGCTACAAGGACCGATTCTTAAACTGCGAAACAATGGAGTGGTCAAACGATCAAGTAATTCTAAGTGAAAGCAATATTACTGGTGCTTCTCTTTTGAGAAGGAAGTCCGAAGAACTTAAGAAATGACGAGCTAAAGTTTTGGCTCAAATGTCGAGGTGCTGCTGCTAAAAGGCATGTCTGAAATGACATAAAAGGCATGTCTGAAAACATCTCGCACATCTTACTACCCTTCAATATCCGCGTCGCCCACAAACCCATCTCGTTCTGTTCGATTCCTTTACAAGTGGTGGCCAAAGCTGGATTATTCATTTATCATTTCTTCTTCGGTTAGTAATTTATTATTTAGCTCGACGTTTATTTTTTTTTCAGAGCCTCTGTTGGTTTTGATTGAATATGCGCCTTTCGGGAATCTGCAGGGTTACCTGAGAAAGAGCCGTGGATTAAAGGACACTTGCTACAAAGACACAGATGTAGAACCACAAACTAATCTAACGTCACAGCAGCTGATGAAGTTTGCTTGGCAAATCGCTGATGGAATGAGTTACTTGTCCTCAAAATCTGTGAGTTTTCATTAAAAAACGCTAAAGAACTAAGTCCAGTCCTAGTATGCGCAATCGCAAATTTCTTAGTCTGCAAAGCGACAGCCAGAAGTTTCAACGAATTTCCTCGTTAGTGGCCTGCTGATAGTTGAAAGGGGGGCTTAAAGCCGTGTTACATGGCTAGAACCCTGCTTGATTAAAGCTACTGAATAGTTTGATTTTACGATTAAGAATGGAAGTCTCAAAGTAATCATCCTCCATTGATTATCATTCCATGTGGTTAGATCATCCACCGAGACCTCGCAGCCCGTAATGTGTTGGTCGGGATAAACGAAACATGCAAAGTAACAGATTTTGGAATGGCCAGAGACGTGCAACAGGAAAATGTTTATGAAAGAAGGACAAAGGTAATTTGAAAAATGCAGCTTAACTTCATCTCTTCAATTCAAAACCATACTCGAGATTTTGTTTTGACTCCATCTAAACCTGAAAGGCTTTTCCATTTTTAGATGGAATCTTTAGGCTCAATGTTTTTTTTTTTTCAATTATTTTATATTGGTATGTAAATGAAATGTGCTCAAGAGGTAACTTTTAAACCTTAAGGGTCGTCTTCCAGTAAAGTGGACAGCTTATGAGGCGCTGTTGTATGGCACATATACCACCAAAAGTGATGTGTAAGTACAGGGGTTCTTATATGTTATGACACTGTTGCGCATTTGATTTCAGTGTAAAAGGTAAATCCTATCGATTACTCTGCACCGTAGTGCCCACAGTTTTTCTCATAGCATCAACCTGGACCCAAGCCTATCGCTAGCTGTCCTTCCACCATTATGCAGACTTCCTTTATGATTTGCTCGATTTGTCTCGAGGAGCATTCCTTGTGTTGATGATAAATTTATCCCATTACCTTCTAGATGGAGCTATGGAGTTCTCCTTTATGAGATTTTCACAATAGGTAACAATTTAATTAGTTTATAAAATGTAATGAAAAACAAAGAAGCATATTAACGATAGGTTTGCTATAATTTATCAATGTTAATCAAGGGAAATCGTGGAAGTTACGTTAGTTGTACGTCTCATAGGGCCCTCTGCCAACTTCTACTGAAAAACATAAAAGAAACTTTGGTTGTTATTCAATTATTTTACGTAACAAAATAGGATTCATTTGTAAAAAATGATACGAAAAAATATGTTTACATCACTTCCAGGTGGTTCCCCGTATCCACGGATGGATGGGAAGAAAATTGCGAAACTACTTCAGCAGGACTACAGAATGCCTAAACCCCAATACGTGGATGGCAAATTGTAAGTTCTCCATATCGTTTCTCGCCTTTCTTATTTCGATTTGCCATAAGTCCCATTCAAAGAAGTATTCGCCCAATGACTGGCCACTTTTTACTGATATTCAAGTTAAGTGATTCTTGAAAATGAAAAAACCCGTTTTCTTTGTTTGTTTGTTGAACTTATTACTCTTTACAAATACCAGGTACCAGATCATGATGAGATGCTGGCAAAATGACCCGGATGTTCGACCAACATTCATCGAGTTAAGAAACCATCTTAAGAAAATGAAAACGAAACAGAAAGTGAGACTTGTGATGATGAGGACTTAATGATCTGATTTTCACCAGGGATGGATTAAGTCTTAGCCATTTACCATGTAGTTTATCAAAAGTTGACATTAAGACCCACCGTCTGTATTAATTTCAGAATATAGTCTCTTTTAATCAACTGGTTTTCAAAAGCTGAACTTTCGAGCGTTAGCCATGAGAATACAGGCGCGTAAAATATAGCTCAATTGGTTAGCTATAGAGTGCTGGATTATGTTGAGCAGGAGGTCGAGGGTTCGAGCCCCGGCCGGACCAGTACTCATGATCTTAAAATAACTGAGGAGAATTTGCTACCTTTCTATAACAAGAAATGGATAGGTATTCTAGTCTTCTCGGATTAGGACGAATAAACCGTAGGCCCCGTCACCTGCAGGGTTAGGGGTAGGAGACGTTAATTTCCTACGCACGAGATCACTGTGTGGTGGATGTCCTCCCCTGGGGTAGGATGGGTAGTGTGTTGGCCCTGAAAAGCCCTTATGGGGAGTGGTCATATAACCTATGTAATACGTATGGGTACACACTCAATTTTGATGAGCTTAGGATTTTGTTTTTCTTTTCTCCACAGAGGCTGATGGACATGAAAATGTACGACAAACAGCTGTGTGCAAACACTGAGGACTTAAAAGTATAGTTATCAATCTCTCGTACGGTCTCACGCAGGATTTGTAGTAAACTTGTACTTCCTTTCATGTTATTGGCTTGAAACACAAATTTGTTAAAAAAAAAACTGAGATTCCAAAAGAGTCGCATCAAAATGTAAACAGTACAAGCCTATTCTTATTCCTTTGAAACCTCTCTGATGATCACACTATCCTTTTTTTTAATTTTTAACAGCTTTTAAATTTTTATATTTATAAAATTTTTTGTTTTTTTTTCGAGAAAATGATATTAGGGCAAATAATTTTTTCTAAAGATAGGTAAACATTCAATAGCTCTGACTAGCGTTGTACGACCTTGTGTCGTTGCTATTTAAGTCACCACTCTCCCATCTTCTCCTTAAAATCGTTAAATAAATAACGAAAAGATGTAAGGTCCTTGTACTGTGATAAAGGGATATACTGCAGTCTGATCAGCATCCTTTGTTTTCTTATTATGTTTTTTCGTTGAGCAAATATTCCAAAGTTTCCAAAGTTTTCAATACTATTGTATAAATCAAGAAACATTTATGTCTACAAACTTGAAAATTTAGGGACAAAAATCTTCGTTTCGAAGAAGTGCTAGAAGAAGGATGAGATACCACTTAATAAATTTTACCATGATAAATAAAGAATCATCTCATGTTTTAAAGACGTTTCAAGGGTGATTTTGGATTGGTTTGGATGGCTCATCATTCTTATAGACTTTAACCCTTTTCCATCAAACTCAGCATACATGGGGTCAAAGAAGACCCACTACTGTTGTTATTTGTTTCTTGTTGAAATTAAGAGACAACATTATGTAAGTGTGTACATTGCAAGGCTGTTTGATATGACACCTATTGCAGTGTAAAACACCTACAATGACTCCCGATTTCCATTGCAGTGAACCGTTCATATAACAACAAATCCCAAATATCCAGCATTCTGCTCCAAGAGCAACACTGAAAATGTGTCGATCTTTTGAGATCAAAAGTGGCTCAAGAAATCAAAATTTTACATTCAAAACACACCTCAGGACCATATCTTGCTGTTTGGCTGGAAGATGCCTTCTTACTTTATCCGCTAGCCCTTGTTCCTCCTTTTGACGAAAGGTAGTGTCGCAAACACAACCTTTGCCTCGTTAATGGCCGAAAAGAATTCTGGGAGATTCCACCACAACTCGAGAAGGCAACACCTCACATTTCCATTTTAACAACTTATTAGAATCGTGCCGGGTCACCCAGTCCTACCAGCAAAATATCACATCGATCGAGACTTTTGCCACTCAAAACTGGCCCAAAAAGCCTTGGTAGGTCCTGGTAGCTATCCACAGATGGGCCAGAGACACGACCTCACTTGTGAACTCGCCAAGCTTGCATAAAAGCATTTTGGCGGTCCAGTCTACATGAAGCCACCTCTCACCTTTGTTTCCTTTCAGAGGCTTGCCTCTACGCACATTCCAGCTTAATGAGGCTGTCCTGAGGGCTTCTGTAGAGGGAAAATGGCTCGAAAAACAATTATAAACGCGAGAAAAGGAATCGATTTAAACGCATCCAAACACGAGCGAGTGATCTAGGTCACGTGACCCCAAAGTCTGAACCCACGATGTCTCAAAACCACAAATATTGTAAGGGATACTTCATATACCGACAAACAAAGTAAACTTAAGTTTTGTATGGCCAAATTATAAGGTTTTTTTCCGGATGGTAAAGAGTTAAGACCTCGGTGTTTTCCTACAAAACGTTCACTTAATTCTGGGTCACTGATACAACTCAGTAAAGCAACAGTTTCAGTCATGTGTAAGGCCCAGTTCATCCTTCAATTTTTTCTAACCGCTTTTGTTATTATTCCTTTAGCAGGTAAGACTCGTTTACATGAGTTTGTGCGAAGTTTGCATTCAGGATGGGATCCATTATGACCATAAGAACGGAGAAATAGCAGAAACTGACGCTGGGAATAAGCTTTATACCTGAATAACGCTGAAGGGTTGCAATCAATCGCTTGAAAATGCGTTTTTTTCATCATTAAAATGCTCTTCGAGTCGAGAAAAGTCCATATTGTGTGAAAAATGATAGGGAGCACTGTGCGGAATTGGAGTAACATACTTTGGCGTTCGACTCCATTATTTAAAGAAAACCAGGTTGCTATTTCACGCTGTCTCAAACAAAGCTTTAAGAAATCAGGATGTACTCTGAGTCATAGATGAACAACTTTGAAATCAGCTGATCCTAATGCTTCCAAGGCAGTGTACAAGAAAAAATGGCATGATACAAGTGTGCGCATTAGAAGAAGTCGCGTATCAAAAGCTAAGGAATCAATAGTAGAAGCTCTGAATATGATTGCACCTGGAATTGGTGGTCCCCTATGGGAGGCGCTAAAGGAGTCTAAGTCTGTGGAGAAAGCCTTGTGTATAGCATGCGCAGATGAGTCTCGGTCAGATCGGAAATACTTGGACCCCTTGCATTGGCTGAAACGTACAAAAACGCATCAAGCTGGGAGACACGCTTGACACACCATAGCGAAATTACAAGCCTACATACCCAGCGTCACTGAATTCAGATTTGCCATAGCCAGGAGGCACAAACTAGAGTACAGCCGAGGTGTTCCACTACCCATGCGAAAAACCCAAAGAGTGTGTGTGGACTCCGACCAATTGAAACATTTAATATCATTCATTACAAGCCCCCACATCATTCAAGACCTTTCTTTTGGACAGCAATACTTACATCTTTTGTCTGGTAAAGTTTTGGAGACATCCAATGTGATACGTAATATGATACCACAGCGTATTTTTAAGGAATACATGCCGTACTGCTACGAAACAGATTTCAAACCATTTGGTCCATCGACCATGCTTCGCATTTTGTCTTGCTGTAGCGCAAAGGTAAGGAAATCCTCACAAGGACTCGATTATATTGCGGTAGAGGAAGAGAAAGGATTTGATGATTTGCACCGTATTTTGGACCGCTTAGGAGAGTTCGTTCCTAGAAGATACCTTGTGAGCCATTATCGAAAATATCTTAAGGAAGCTAAGCATTACTTGAAGGCTGAATATAAGGTACATCAGCTGTAATCAAAGTATGCAATTTCAGGAAAAGGTTTGCCATGTGAAAGCGCGCGAGCACTGGCGACAGTCAGCATTTCTTTGAAGTGGCTTATAACAAGATCAAACAAGGAAGTTATATTAATGTACTCGCTTCTGCTTTTACACTTTCTTATGACAATCTTTTTTTAATCAATTACTTATGAAGTTATAGTGCATTGTCTCAAAACATTTTTGCCATGATTGCAGGCTCATGTTGCTGAATCTACAGCTATTGCAGATCACTGCAGTTCGTATGCTTTGCGTGACAGTAAGGAGGATCAATTCAAAAGCACGTGCCATCATTGACTTGACAAACAATGCATGCGCTGTGAGATCCTGAAGGACGTTCTTAAAAAATTTGAAAATTTTTTTGTGGACTGCGAAGTGAGTACAGAGGACTTAGACGAGTTGACGTATTCTTGCCGACAAGCTGTAGTCAGCATCAAAAGGTGCAAAGCACATCAGGTACGAAGTTGAAAACAGGACGAGGCAAGAACATCCATACTGAATACCCTCGATGAAAAGTCTGTTCACAAAACGCAGGATTGAGCCATGAAATTCCTCCCACAAAAATACCGAGAGTCGCAATGTGATTGGTTTGCTGAGCGGGAAATTTCGTTGCACATACGTGTGGTAATGCGCAAGATCAAGCAACATTTCCAACACCAGGCATTTTTTTATGTTTTGGAGAACTGCAAGCAGGACAGCTACTCCGTTGTACGAATAATTGAACACTCCTTACGCATCCTGAAACTAGAGCATCCCGAAATGACAACTGCTTTTCTCCGGCAAGACAACGCCGGTTGCTACCATTCAGTCGAAAGCTGTGCTCAAATGGAGTCTAAAACTGGTATCGTAATACGAAGGGTTGACTTAAGTGATCCACAAGGAGGGAAGGGTCTTTGCGACAGAAAGGCGGCTACTATCAAAGCCAACGTAAGGTGATACATCAAGGAAGGTCATGATATGTTGAACGCTAATGACTTCATGAATGCCATGCTTTTAAATGGTGGAATACAGGTTAGAGTGGTTACTGTTGATGCCTATAGTGCCCAAAGGGATGCTCAACTTTCACAAAAGTGACGATTGATAGTTTCTAAAGAAACTGTTTGGGACTGCGTCGGTGGGAATAACGCTCGGACGAAGGGCTAACGCTCGAAACGTCAGCTTTTGTAATGGTTACGGTGGCCAATTTACCATTTCAACTTTGTCGATATGTCCAAATTATTTCACTCAAGAGGTCTGGCATGAACTCTTTGAACAACGTTCTGTATTCTGAGAAAACCATCTGTTTGGAAAGCGTACAATGTTGGCGAGGGAAAGAAGGTACCAGGTATCTGAAGTATATGATGAAAGTTTTACTATTATTGAACATATCTAACCTTAAATGTTAAGTACAAGGTCCTACACTGCCGTCATGCAGTGCTGACGGCATGAAACCTTTTTCAAAGGAAAAGAAAAACAGTGGACAATAAAAACACACTGGGGTAAGAAGCTCTTCTTCTCTTATTGAAGTTGTACTCATGCTTTACAGTCTAGATTACCAACTATTACTCATCCTTCGCGCGAAATAACCCTAAACAACAAAACAAAACCAAAAAAAGAAAAAAAAAATAACTATCCATTTACGGAGCCGAAACTTTTGTCACTTTATTATATTTTCATTTGGTTTTTCAGTTCCAGATTATTCACAGCCGCCCAGCTTTCAGTGCCAGTTTTCCTCAGTGTACTTCTCAGAAGTATCTCAGGCATTAGATAAGCCAAAACCCACTTTACAAGAGACCGGTGAACAACATCCAGATAAGGAGGAAGAGGACCGAGACCTTAGCGCTCTGTTTTCTTGTCCGCACGAGGTTTGTGTTAAGATGTATCAGCGTCACTATGCTTTGGTAAATAACTTATTGTATGGGCAATGTGAGTTTCAGAGAAAGTCTTATGAACAAGGCCAAAATATTATACCATGACAAACTACTCTGTGAGGTGAACAACCTGCCATCCGTGAAGGCTGAGTCAAGTCAATGTCCGGTAACAACTGAGGTTCTTCCACAAGGGTGGGCTTTAAGATCCACTAGAAAGGCAACGAGGTTTAGCGACTCCCAGGGACAGTACTTACACGCAAAATTTAAAGTCGGGAAAGCAACATGCAGGAATGAAACTTGATCCAGTGGATGTTGCACGTGACATGCGTTACGCGCGAAAGCAGGAAGGGCAAAAACTGCTCACGGTAAGACGAGCTTCTAAATTCCGACATATTCATTCGGACGATCCAGAGTCTGATCAAGACCAAGATATTATGGCCGCTGAAAAGGAAATCGCGCACAGAAATGTTCGCGCAGTTGTGTTAAAAGTACCCAATTGTTTTCGACATTTTCAACTTATGTGACATACACAAGGCAGGTAAACTGCGACAGCTAAGTGTTTCCATGTTGCGTTCCATTTGCGAACATTTCGACATTGAGGTGATGAACATCAAAGGACGACG